GGCAGGCTACGTGCAAACCCCAGCTGCGGCCCAGGCCAGGCTAACTGCAGGAGAAGCACCTGATGCTGTCTGCCTTGGTCCTGGTCCCAAACACCTGGATTCAGGGACCTGGATCCTTCCACACCACCTGATGCTGTCTGCCTTGCTCCTTGTTCCAAACACCTGGATTCAGGGACCCTGATCCTTCCACGTTGTGACCCTGCCATCCTGGGGACTCAGTCGGTTAAAGAAGAGTAGGGTGGAGGAGCCACGTGACTTCCCAAGAGCCTTGCACTAGGAGTGGCGCATGTCACCTCTCGGATCTGTTGGATGAAGCCCACGTCACGTGACCAGGCCTCGCTGTAATCGCTGGTCAGGCACCTGTTCTGGCCACAGCTGCTCAGTGTGGAAGGGGGAGTGAAGTTCGATGGACAACCAGCCATCTCTGTGACAGGGAGTGACCCACCATCGCACTACCCTAAATTCCTGACAGAACTATCGTGGGAGTAATAACTTCCCGCATCCTCGCACTGCCCCAGACAGAAGTGATGGTGAGCCTTCCACTGCACCCCCAACACTGGCCAGAAGTATCCAGGGGGCACCGTGGGACAGCACATGTGCTGGGGCTGCAGATCCCGAGGCAGCAGGTAGAAAGGCAGAGATGACATGTCACCTCGTCCCTTGTCACTTGTCCACCTGCCCTCCTGAGGCCACGGCCAAGTCCCCGTTGGGATTCATGGGAGGAACCCCCAGTCTCCAGCGACAGACCCCCTCCCACCTCCCATGGAGACGCTGCTACGCAAGCACGTGACATGACCAGCAAACTCAGCAGGCTCATCCCCAGGGCGGAGGAGGAATCCCAGCACCCTCTGCACTGCCTCCCTGTCAGAAAGATGCCCCCAGGAGCGTGTGCTCTGGAACGCAGCGGGTCGGCTTGTAAAGCCTCTCTCCAGAAAGCTGAGACATGAAATGAATGCCAATGCTCCCCACACCCGTGCGGAGGGGACGCAATTACAGAAAATTCTGCTTACAGTTCAGATTCAATATTTGGAAGGGATAATCTGAAATAAGAGACTGCCTGCTTTCTCTCCCGAGCCTGTGAATGGCTCATTAGCTCCTATTTGACATTTGATGGTTGAGTCTGATTGGCTTTATTGTGGAGTTGGACTTTAAGGAGTCCCCAAGACAGAGCAATCAAGTTTCACAATGATCCCCAACTGCAGGTTTTGAAGCGTAAATGGCAGTTGTGCCGTGGACATCAATCTGTGGTGCGGTGGGGAATTTGTGCTGCACCCCCACTTAGTGAAACTCAGTCCTGCTTGGAAATCGGGGCCCTGACTCAGCAGTTAGGATTTCCTCAGCCGTTCAGCCTGGGCGCTGCGAACAAAGGACCCCCAGACTTGAGCATCAGCAAAGTTGCAGTGTGTCTCGATCTCAGGACCGGCCCAGGGCACTAGGGTCTCTGGGGAACTCAGTACAGAGGCCATACCTTCAGCATCGGGCTTGCTGTGGGGCCGGGTCCCTCACACCAAGCACAGAAGCGAGAAGGGGAGCAGATGCTTGGTTCCATGGAGGTGGGGATGGTGCGACTGCAGCAATTCTTGAGAAAATTAGAGTCGTGGTCTGGGCTGGCTTCCTGGAAGAAGTTGCCCCTTCCAGGAAGTTGCAGATACAGGCCAAGGAGCAGGGAGGCACTGCAGGCCGGAGGGTGGGTGGACAGGTGCTTGCTGGCTGGGGGTGGTGCCTCCCTGGATCCCTGCCACCTCTGGGCTGTCCCCTCTCTCACCGTCTGCCTTCTCCCTTGTCCTCAAGCACAGGCCCTGCGCAGGCACAGGCTGCTTCGTCCATTTCCGAGCCTGGGGTCGTCAGGACTGGGAGCCCAGAGGAGCCCAGTAAATGTCCGCTGGCTGAATGAAAAGGTGCACCTCCCCGAGGCGCCTGCCTCCATCCACTGCGGTTGCAGCAGTCACGGGAACCACGCCCGCGCCACTCCTTAGAGAGGTCGGGACGCCAGGACTCCGGGATGTGCTGAGGGCTCCGCCCCTGCGGGCGGAGGAAGCACACTGACATCGTACGTCGTCACGTAACCACCGTCTGTCCATCCTCCGTGGTAGAGACAAAGACAGGAGGACATAAAAGCATTGAAAACAGTTATGGAGAGTGTGTGGAAGGAGGGCAGGAGAGGGGAAGAATGTAGGGGAGGAAGTTAGGGAGGAAAAAGAGAGAGGTAAGACATCAGTGGGGCCCAGAAATGGTTTCTTACCTGCTGCTGATGACATGGGTAGAATTCTCAACTGGACTGGGCTGAGGCGTATTTCATGCTGGGTAAATTCTCTCCGTGAGCTAACTGAGGCATAGCAATCGAGTGTATAGCAGCAGCAGCAGCAGCATCACCATCATCATCACCACCATCATCATCACCATCATCATCACCATCATCACCACCATCACCATCATCATCACCATCATCATCATCATCACCATCATCACCACCATCACCATCATCATCACCATCATCATCATCATCACCATCATCACCACCATCACCATCATCATCACCATCATCATCATCATCACCATCATCACCACCATCACCATCATCATCACCATCATCATCATCATCACCATCATCACCACCATCACCATCATCATCACCATCATCATCATCATCACCATCATCACCACCATCACCATCATCATCACCATCATCATCATCATCACCATCATCACCACCATCACCATCATCATCACCATCATCATCATCATCACCATCATCACCACCATCACCATCATCATCACCATCATCATCATCATCACCATCATCACCACCATCACCATCATCATCACCATCATCATCATCATCACCATCATCACCACCATCACCATCATCATCACCATCATCATCATCATCACCATCATCACCACCATCACCATCATCATCACCATCATCATCATCATCACCATCATCACCACCATCACCATCATCATCACCATCATCATCATCATCACCATCATCACCACCATCACCATCATCATCACCATCATCATCATCATCACCATCATCACCACCATCACCATCATCATCACCATCATCATCATCATCACCATCATCACCACCATCACCATCATCATCACCATCATCATCATCATCACCATCATCACCACCATCACCATCATCACCATCATCATCTTCACCATCATCATCACCACCATCATCATCACCATCACCATCATAATTATCATCACCACCATCATAATTATCATCACCATCATCACCACCATCATCACCATCATCACCATCATCACCACCATCATCATCACCATTATCACCATCATCACCACCATCACCATCATCACCATCACCATCACCATCATCACCATCATCACCACCATCACCACCATCATCATCACCATCATCACCATCATCACCACCATCACCATCACCATCATCACCACCATCATCACCACCATCATCACCATCATCATCACCATCACCATCATCACCATCATCACCACCATCATCATCACCATCATCATCAAGAAAGCTCTCGCTCTGCCTCGATGCCTCCCTTTCACTCCTAGAAGGCACTTTTGGAGGATGGAGGGACGGGGGACACTTCGTGAGGACCTCACTGTGCCCGGTCCTGGGAGGAGAGCGTGGTGTCTCCTGCCACTCACACAGTCAGATGTCACGCTGATGGCTCCAGCTCGAGACTCTGTCATTCAGACGCTGTGTGCTCTGGGCAAGCTGAGAAACCTCTCTGTGCCCTCGTGTTCCACACGGCCTACTGCCGTATGAGAAATCCGGGTACTTTCACGTGGAAAGCCTTGCCACTGAGCCTGACGGTCATGGGCTCTGGATGGCCACCACAGAACCCCACAGCTCCATCATCCCTCCTTGCTCCCCCATTTGTGGCCGAGGTATGCTGCTTCATCTCACAGGTGACACCAACACCAAGGATGGGGACCCGTGCAGGGCCCCACTGCTGTGCCTGACTCCAAAGCCACAGCATCCGCAGCCCCTGGAGGGACGAGCAGGTGGAGGGAACACGCGCCGGAAGCTTCTGTCCTCAGGAACCCCCAGCCTCAGGGCTATGCCTGAGCCTCCCCTGCGCCCCAGGCCTCCCCAGTCGCCCCCCCAGTCGCTCACTGAGACCCACCGCCGACCCTGGCTGCCACTCACTCTGCACAGCTGAGCACGTGTGCCTGTCCAGCAAGCACACACACGTGTACCCTCGCATGTGCAAACACACTCACATGGACACCAAACACACCTGCTTCCATATGCTACTCACACGTGTGTGCTCCTGTGTGCACACACACAGCTATATACCCTCACACACACACAGAAACACATGCAGGCACAAAAGGCATGCACATATGCATATGCCCTCACACAACACGCCATGATCATGTGTGCATGGGCGCACACGTATGCTCACCTACACTCACATGCACATTCATAGACACACATCTGCGTGCACTCCGTCAAATACAGACGCATGGACACGGAAAAGCACATGCATACGTGTGTTCTCACAAGTGCTTGGGCATGTCCACGCAGGCTCACACGCAGATACAAGCCCTCACACACACCGGGGGAGGGCGCCAGCCCTGCGGACAGAGCAGGGTCGGAGGCACGCCTTCTGCCCGCGGTCCCTGGAGACCCGGATGTCGCGGCCTTGCTGGGTTCTTCCTCGCCCTGCCTCCTCGTCCCCTCGGCGGCACCCAGACCTGACCGCAGCACCAGGTCCCAGCCAGGCCCGCGCTCTCGCCCACTCTCTGGCTCAGCCTCAGGGCTCACATTAGCTTCCCGGGGTCTGGAACCGCAGGACTCTGCACAGGACTCCACATCGGCCCAGACTTGTCCGTGACGACCCAATACTTTCCCTCCTGGGACCTCCACAAACGTCACTAATGGCGACTGTCACGGTCGTGTTGGTAGGATCCCCAGGTGAGACCTAGCGACACAGAGGCCTTCTGTGACCTCTCAAATCAAGAGAGTTAAAGATCTCAGCCCATTCACCCTCAAGGTGGTGTCTCAGGAATGGATTTACCAAGGCCTTCTCTGCCTGCAATGTTGGCTGGCACCACCAGGGGGCAGCGCTGACTCACTTATTTGTGTTTAGATACCTGTCAACTCAGTACTTCAAAGGACCTGAGACTTGGAGAATGTAGACAAACCTGAAAAGGATGTGAGTGGACAGCGAGATCAGGATAGTATAGGTAGATGGGGGAATGAGGCAAGGAGGAGACCGATAGAATGAGATTCGGTGCGGTGCAGTTACTCATACTGGGCAAAAAAAAAAAAAAAAACTGTTCTGAGTTTCCTGGTGGCCATAGCAAAAATAGAATGGTTCATTAGTCTACCCACTCTCCAGGGAAAGGCCAACATTTCATGTGGGGGCAGCAGGCATCTGGGTCACCTTGGTTCACATCACCCCCCTGCAGGCCCTTCCAGGCCAACTTGGTTCTTGTGTTGGAATCAGTACGCTAACCCTCCTGGAAATCTGTCATCTCTGTTCTCCCTCTTGGTGTAAAGCGATAGTTACGACCTCTGGCTGCACTCTCTGTCCTCCTACCCTTTTTGGAACCCATTCCAATCAGGCTTTCATCTTTGCCACTCTTGGGATCGATCATATCGAGGTCACCTGTGACTTCCACGTTGCCAAATCCAGGAACAACTCCTCAGTTTACAGAAAATGGTGAACGGCGAACAAAGATTCTATGAAGCCTTCCCTTTAGGAGAGTTGCCCACGGGGTTCACTAAGCACGCAAGCACACTCTTGTTCCCGACACTATGTTTGGCTTCAAAGACGCCAGTCTCGTTTGGTCTCCGTCTCCTCTCTGCCTTACCTCCAAATGTTATAAGGCCCTGGTGCTCAGTCCTGGGACCTCTCCTCCCCCATCCAGTCACTCCTGTGAGCTGGTCTCAGGACTCTGAGTCCCACGCACACCCGATGCCCCCTGTCTGCACTCAGATGTCAGACAGGCACAGACTCACCACGTCCAAACCTAACTCTTGCAGCCCTCACCCCAGCCGCCAGTCCACCTAACAAGCTCATTGCTGTCTCCCATCTTGGCAACAGCATACCATTTGGCTTGGGACAGCCTGCGTTGCCTGGACCCCTCTCTTCGCCCTTTACATCCAACCTCACGGAAAATCCTGTGGACACTGACTTCAAAGAATCCCCAGGGCCTCACCCTTCCCATCACCTCTACTTCCACCCTCCGTCAAAATCACCCGCTGCTTGGGAACCAGCAGTTAGCGTAATGGCTATGTCGCTGGACTCCCACGTAGTAGACCGCGGTTCGCGTCTCGGACCCGGTGGCTTAAATCTCACGCCGGGCGCATGTGCGTGCGTGCCCAAGATCCCGAGAGGAGAATGGAGGAGAAGGGATTGCGGCGTGACCATCCCCCCTGGGGGTGATTTCTCGCTTTCTGTCTCTATGTCTCTCTCTGTCTGTCTGGCGAGCGCACGCGCCCTATAGCAAAAACCTCTCCAAAAAAAAAAAAAAAAATCACCCGCTGCTCCGTGGGCAGTAGCTTTGTCCGACTTGTCAATCACTGTGCCCTAGCGCCTAGACTGAGGCTTAGCACACAGTAGGCCAGCTGTGACTATGCATTGATCAAATGATTGCCTTCCCTAAGGGCTAGTGCGGATACAAGACACACGCAAGATACTGCTTCTCAGTCAACATTAGGGTCACAATTTGAGGATAAAGAAAACTTTTTGGACACGTTCTCTGTGCCAGGAAGATGCTAAATGAGGTGATGGAAGCTCAAAGAAGTAAGAAGTGATTCAAAGCTAGACGTCTGGAGGTGAGTGGGATAGATACTGGAATCATTCCCGTTTACTCAGTCTGCCAAGTATCAGCTGAGAACCCCCAATGTCCCAGATAGTGTTTGGGGAGGAGGAAACAGGCAAATCCCTTTTCTAATAGATCTCACCGTCCAGTATGAAGAGATGCAAGAAACGAACTGTGTGTAGGACAACAAGAAAGCAGAGTCAGGGGACTCAGTGGCAGAGGGAGGGTCAGCTGGTGCCCACATGGCCAACGGCATGGTTCGCATCCCAGACTGGGCAGCTTGGAAAACACACCAGGTGCATGCCCAAAGAAGAGAGTGAAGAGGAGATTGCTGAGGGGCCATCCCCCATGGGAGTGCTTTGTCACTGTCCTTCTCTCTGCCTGTCTCTCCGATAAGTACAAGTGCCCTATAGGAAATGTCACAAGATGATGAGAGTACCAGAGAGAGTTCTCTGATGTGCAATGACCGGGAAAGATCTCTTTGAGGAAGTGCTCCCCTCAAAGGGAGGAGAGACCTGGGTCAAGTGAGGAAATGAGTCCATATTAATGTTAAAAAAAGAAAAATAAATTAATTAAAAAAAAAAAAGAGGTTGGAGACCAGCAGATGGCTTAAGGGTTACGTCCCACATGGTCGAATGTGGTTCAAGTCCCAGACCTGGTGACTTAAAACTCACACCAGGCGTGTGTGTGTGTGCCTAAGATCCCGAGAGGAGAATGGAGGAGAAGGGATTGCTGCGTGACCATCCCCCCCTGGAAGCGATTTCTCATTTGCTGTCTCTCTTTCTCACTGTCCTATAGCGAAAAATCTCTCTCTCCCTGTCTCTCTCTCTCTCTAAAAAAAAAAAAAAAAAAGATGAGGATGAAAAGAAAATACTCCAAAGTAAATGATTGTTGGCATCTGAGGGGGGATGTCAAGGAAGCTAGTGTGGCTGGAACCCAGGAACCCAGGGAATAAAGGGCAGAGACTTCGGATTGAGGTCAAAGATTTTCTGTGCACTTGGATGTAAAGGATGAGTGAGGAGGGGGTGCCAAAGGGACCTTGTAACTGCAAGTCTTAGAATTTTAATCTGTGTAAAGCAGAATCCAGTTGCAGGTTTGAGCAGGGAAGGAACGCCTGGTCTGAGTTAGATTTTTTATTTTTTAATGCCAGATTGTGCATGTGATTTTTCATGTGTGAGAGCGAGAGACAGAGAGACAGAGAGACAGAGCAAGCACCCCCAGTGGGGCCTGGTCACTTGCCATCATTTTTCCTAGCTTTCTCCATCTTTTCCGTGTTGGGACACACACACACACACACGCCCAGTATGTTCATCCAGCCTTCGAGGCCAGGATGTACACTGTGCTTGGCCGTGTGGGCTCTGACCCCTCTGCACAGTGCTTGACCACTGCACTACAGGCGCAACCCAACTTCTGTTTTAGATATAAGAAACATAACCAGTTACTTTTTTAAAATGTATTTTTTTACTTATTTCTTCGATGAGCAAGAGAGATAGAGGGAGAGCACTCCTAAAGGGATCCCAACACCACTGCCCCTCCCCACTGCCCACCCCGCCTCAGCAGCCCTGGGTCACAGTACACACACGCCCAGATCTGCAGGGAGGTCTCCAGACGGGAACCCAGAACCTGCTCAGGCGGGTCAGCGTCTCTGAGCGTTGGGTTTCCCCGCTGTACCACCGTCCGGCCTCCCAACGTAGAGTTTGTAAGATCACTTTGGCTCCTCCATGGAGAAGGGTCTGGAGCGGGATGACAGTAGCTCCGGGGAGAGCTGGTGGGATTCTCACGATGTTCAACTTGGCCAGGCCCTTACGGTACCCAGCCATTTGGTCAAACACCAGCCTAGATGTTGCTGTGAAAATATACTTTTAGTTGTGCTCATTTTATTTATTCATTCATTCCAGAGAGAGACACACACGCAGAGAGAGAGAGGTCAAGCGAGAAAGAAGCCACCAGGTCTGGGACTCAAACCGCCGTCAGCCCTGTGGGAGTGTCCAGTGCCTTAACCACCATGCCACCTGCTGGCCCCTCATTGTGCTAATAATTACAGTCAGTAAAGCTCAAGTAAACCCAATTGCCCTCTGTGCTGTGTGGGTGGGCTGCACCTACTCAGTCAAAGACCTCAAGAACTGACCGAGGCTTCAGAAGAAGGAATTCTGCTTCAAAAAGGCACCACGGGCACGGCCCGAGTGGCTCACTTGCTAGCTTGCCTCGTAGATTTCAGACATGCCAGCCCTGACCATCACGTGGGCCAGTTCCAGATAACAGTGTGTGTGCCCACGGATATGTCAACCCCACTCACAATCCAGGGGAGAGAGTCTGAACCGTGGTAGGAGCAGTGGAGATGGGGAGGCATGGCTGGAGTGAAGAAGTATTTCGAAGGTAGAACCAACTAGATTTACTCATGAACTGAGTTTGGAGAACGAAACAAAAGAAGAGAGAGAGGGAGGCGGCAAGGATGATGCCAGGCTTCTGACCCGAGCAGCTGGGCAGATGGTGGTGCTGTCCACTAGGAGAACAGGGGCTGCGAGGCAGGGGCCAGGGCAGAGGTCAGGCCGGGCAGGGTGTGGATGGTATCTGAACCCTTGAGATGGGATAAGATCACGGGGGATGGTGATGGACGAGAGGGCCAATATCCGACAGGGCCTACGAGACTGGCAGGAAATCTGGACGGTGTGTCCCAGAAGCCAGGTGGAGGAAGTGCATTCCTTCGAGAAAGACGGAGCGGCCAGCTCTGACAGATGCTGCTGGGGAAGTGGTCATTTTGGGGGCAGGGAGTGCCGTGGGCTCGGGGGCACTGTGTGTGGGCAGTGCGCAGAAGTCCAGGCGGAGTCTGGTCTGACAACCATTTCCCACGCTGGGAAAGAAGGAAGTGCCCTGGTAAAGCCACGCCAACATACGCAGGCTGGTCGGGGTGGCAGTGAGGATTTACGCTGATGGCCACGTTGGCTTTGATGGATGATGGGTCATTCGTGAAGAGATTAGCAGAAAACGTGAATTTGAGTCCTGGTAGGCAGATAGGGAGGTCACACCTCGTTCCCAGGGAAAACTTGACACAAGAGTGAGTGGCCCTGGCTGGAGGACCAGAGGGCGGAGGCGGGAAGGAACCCCCAACCACAGGAGCCCCCACCCCTCGGGCATGCTCTGGGCGCTGTGGATGTGGGCACCAGCGATAGAGCTGGGCTCATGTGGGAGGAAAGAGCAGGGATTTGGCATCAGCCTCATGACAACTTCAAACACCAGCAAATCATCACCTTTTTACAAATCAGAAGTGGATCACAGAGGTCGTGTATCTTGGCCAAGGTCAGACCACCGTGGAGGCCGGGCTCTGGGCAGAAGAGCACAGTGCAGAGTGCAGCCTGCAGGTCAGAGGTCAGCACTGCTGCAGCTGCAGTTGCCACCACGGGGCTTGTCAGGGAAGTTCCACGGAGAAGAGGAGGCAGGGAAACCACCCGTCCCTGCGTGTCACCCATGCGCCAGGCGCACACTGGGGCCGTCATCAGTCTGAGAGAAGGGAGAGTCACAGGAGCGCTAGGGACAGGCCCATTCAGTGTTCTCACAGAACAACCACAGTGCACCTGCTCACTGCGTTCTCCACTGGACCGCTGACGGACGGAAGCTGAGATGCCAAACCACGCTCACACGTTCACGCAGCTGGTCAGTGCTGGAGTCTAGATTTGAACCCAGCTCTCTTTGCCCCCAAGGCCTCTGCTTCCCTGTCCCATCACAGAGCAGAGGAGAGAATTCCTGGTAGAAACCTGCTCACTTTCTTATCCCCACAACAACAACAGGCACGGCTCCTTGCTGGGCTTCAGGTCACTCCTCTGTAAAGTGGGGACAACCGTCACCCCTATTCCACAGGAGTAAGTGGGGTTTGCCCATAAACCAGCAGCACATACCGTTCCAGAAATGAGAGCGGCCGCGTGCTCGTGAGCACCGTCATTCACAGCCGAGAGAGCACGGAAACGCGAGTCTCCACGTCTCACCCGGATGGGTAAAGACCAAGGTCTGGTTTCAAAGCAAGGCATGGGAAGCAGTTTCTTGAGTCTTTTTTCTTTTCTTTTCTTTTTTTTTTTTTTTTCATTTCAATACAAGATCAGGAAGAGAAGGGTGGGCATGTCGGGCAGGTGGTATCCATCCATGAAAACAGGAAATGGGAATAGTGCTGGGAGGTAACCGTGGGCCCAGCCTGCTCTGAACGCTCCTAATAACTCACTTAATCCTCACAGCAAGCCTGGGAAGCGAGTGCTGCTGCAGTCACCCCACCTCACACAGGGGGGGATGGACCCTGAGAGCCGGAGGGACTCTGCCAGGCTGCAGAGCTGGTGAGGAACGGACCTCTGATTTGGACCCTCGGTCTGACTCCAGAGCCCTGGCTCTGAGGAGAGGACATGAAGTGAACTTTGGAAAATGCTCACGTCCGTTCCCCTGTGCTCAGAATCCTTCCAACAGGTTCCCATCGCCTTTGGGAGGGAGACCGACACGCAGGCAGGTGAGGGGATTGGACGTGTGCCTTGGCGGAGAGAGGCAGCGAGAGCCAGGCCCGAAGCACCTTCGTGCCCAGACTACCAAGGCTTCAATTCAGCGCTACTCAGGAAAGGCCTCCCGCAGCCTGAGTCTGTGCCTGGCATGGCTGAGCCTTGGCACAGGCACTGTTCACAGCCTGGCCTGGCCGTGGGGATGTCACCCTTACAGACTTTGTCCTTCTGTCTCTGACCAACCTTCTGCCCTTGAGCAGTAGGCGATGCATTGTTTAGAAGGCAGCTATGAGATTTAGGGTCTGCTCCAGAGGTGTTCCCCAGGAGGGGCGGGGCCCTGTCACTCTCACAGTAGCCTTATTCTGGGGGTCCTATTGTGTCCACTGGGCAGAAAAGAAAACTAAAGCTTAGTCACCATGACCTGCCCAGTCGTCAGTCATCACATGACAGTTGCAGGGCGAAGGTTTGAATCCAGGTGATTCTGTCTCTAAGGCCATGCTGGGTCAGACTGTTGGCTTCTGAAAGGTGTGGACAAGTAAGGTAGATCAGGAAAGGTGGGACAGGCAAGGTGGGACAGGCAAGGTGGGACAGGTAAGGTGGGTCAGGTAAGGTGGGACAGGTAAGGTGGGTCAGGTAAGGTGGGACAGGTAAGGTGGGTCAGGTAAGGTGGGACAGGTAAGGTGGGTCAGGTAAGGTGGGACAGGTAAGGTGGGTCAGGTAAGGTGGGACAGGTAAGGTGGGTCAGGTAAGGTGGGACAGGTAAGGTGGGTCAGGTAAGGTGGGACAGGTAAGGTGGGTCAGGTAAGGTGGGACAGGTAAGGTGGGTCAGGTAAGGTGGGACAGGTAAGGTGGGTCAGGTAAGGTGGGACAGGTAAGGTGGGTCAGGTAAGGTGGGACAGGTAAGGTGGGTCAGGTAAGGTGGGACAGGTAAGGTGGGTCAGGTAAGGTGGGACAGGTAAGGTGGGTCAGGTAAGGTGGGACAGGTAAGGTGGGTCAGGTAAGGTGGGACAGGTAAGGTGGGTCAGGTAAGGTGGGACAGGTAAGGTGGGTCAGGTAAGGTGGGACAGGTAAGGTGGGTCAGGTAAGGTGGGACAGGTAAGGTGGGTCAGGTAAGGTGGGACAGGTAAGGTGGGTCAGGTAAGGTGGGACAGGTAAGGTGGGTCAGGTAAGGTGGGACAGGTAAGGTGGGTCAGGTAAGGTGGGACAGGTAAGGTGGGTCAGGTAAGGTGGGACAGGTAAGGTGGGTCAGGTAAGGTGGGACAGGTAAGGTGGGTCAGGTAAGGTGGGACAGGTAAGGTGGGTCAGGTAAGGTGGGACAGGTAAGGTGGGTCAGGTAAGGTGGGACAGGTAAGGTGGGTCAGGTAAGGTGGGACAGGTAAGGTGGGTCAGGTAAGGTGGGACAGGCAAGGTGGGGCAGGTAAGGTGGGTCAAGCAAGGTGGGTCAGGCAAGGTGGGTCAGGCAAGGTGGGTCAGGTAAGGTGGGACAAGTATGGCCTCAGGGTACCCTGGCACAGGTGGGAGACCGCAAGCAGAGGCAGCCTGAAGGCCTGAGCAAGGACTGGTCAGACAATGGTCTTTAAATAGACCCAGGGAGAGGGGGTGGGAGAGATGTGAGTAGGGATAGTGGGGATGGGAGAACCCTGAGATCAGCCTCCATGTCTTCCCACCTTGCCCTGGGCCAGGCTATTTGTTGCATCCTTTTTTTTTTTTTTTTTTTTTGCCTTTTTGCCTTTTCCATAGGATGAGTGTACTCGCCAGAGAGAGATAGTGAGAGGGAAAGTGAGAAATCATCCCCCAAGGGGCATGGTTATACCACAACCCCTTCTCCTCCATGCTGGGATTCTGGGCAGGCATGCACATGCACCTGGCAGCATTTTCAAGTCACCAAGCCTGGGCCTCAAACCGTGGTCAGCCATGTGGAAATCCAGTGCCTTAACTACCACGCTGCCTGCTGGCACCCTGTTGCATCCTTTCTTCACCAAGAGAAAGAACCATAGGCTGTCTTGGGCCAAAGACAGCAGCTACAGTCCCTACCCTCCCAGTGACTAGCTCCACAAGCCACGTCACCTCTGGAGCCTCACTCAACCTGTCTGTCAAAGGGTCTCTTCCCCTCCCACTGAACCAGGCGTCTTGAAGAATGAATGGAAGCCGTGTGGTCCAAGGCCCCAGTGTCGAGCTCACAGGGTGGGCGGGCACTTGCCTACAAGCACCAGGTTCTCATGTGTTCTGGGCTCCCTGCCATCACTAGTGCCAGCCCCCTTCCTGGGAACTAGCTTCTGGCTTGTCAGGGAGCCAGCCAGCTGTCAGCCCCACCCCAGCTGGCCAGTGAATGAGTGACCAGGGCTCTGGGGCCTGGCCTATAAGGAGCTGCTAGCCAGAGAAGCAGGTGGGAGCCAGGCGGTGGTGCTGGAGCACAGGAGCAATGGGCAGCCGGGCCGCATCGGGGCTGCTGGCGGGGACGGTCATGCTCCTGCTGCTACTTCTGCAGGGCACGCAGTCAGTCTACATCCAGGTGAGGCGGTCGGCCGGTGGCCTTTGCCTGGAGGTCCCCGCAGTGGGAGCTAGGCTGGAAAGGACGCCGGGGGATATATGGGGTCTGGAGCAGCACAGAGCCCTGAGCTCAGCCTAACAGCCGGTCACAGCCGGGACAGGGGCGGCCAGAATGCGAGGGCAGTGAGGCTGCTGATGAAAATTACAGAGCGCTATTTCTTCAGCACGCTCTCCTTAGGGGCCAGCTCCTGTCACAGATGTCGGAGTCTGCAACAGGACAGGCCCTGCCCTGGGGGAGCCCCGAAAGGAAATGGAACCCCCTTCATGCTCCTGCAGCTTCTATATCCCCCCACCTGCGGCAGAGGGGGACAGTCACCAGAACGACCTCCCCAGCGGTAACCCCTGAGCGGGCAGCGCATGAGCAGGAGGGCGCCTGGCACAGAGGATAGGGAACTGTTCCAGGCAGAGTGCACGGCATATGCAAAGGCCCAGAGAGAAGCAGTGGGGTTCTGGTGTTCTTCCGGGGTCCCCGTGAGGCTGGAAGGAGGCACAGAAGCAGAGAGAGAAGTCTGGCTCGGGACGTCACATGCCTGACTCTGGGCTGGAGAGTGATGGAGAGTCAGACCCCCCACCCTCAGCCCTGGCCTGGGAGCCCGGCCAGCTTGGGGTTGCTGTCACCTTCAGGGGAGTACCCCAATAGTGAGCAGGTCCTGCAACCCCCCCCAGGGATGACATTGGATGAGGGACTGAGGCCTAGCGGGAAAGAGACAGCCAGCCAGTCAGGGCAAGGCTGGATTGGAACCAGGGTCCACCTGTCCCTAACACCCACACCTTGAGCCTCTGTGCTCCGTGGCCTGGCACCTGAGGGCTGTGGCACAGCGGGTGCCCAGGTGTCAGGTGGGAGGAGACCAGACCCCACCTCCCCACACAGGCGGCTCTTTCCCGTGTGGCCTGGACGTCCCAGGGAAGAGTCCGGGCAGGCCTGCACCCTGGCCGGTTAACACCTCTCATCTCCCCTCCCCAGTACCAAGGCTACCAGGTGAAGCTGGAGTCCGTGAAGAAGCTGAGTGACCTGGAGGGCAGGTCAGGAAGCCCCCGCCTGCAGGCCAAGAGTCTGCAGCCCTTGCCATGCTACCACCCTGCCCTGCCCCTGGACCTGCAGCCCATCTGCGCCTCCCGGGAAGCTGCCAGCATCTTCCGGTCCTTGAGTGAGTGCCAGCCCCACCGCAGACCGTCCTGCCCTCCACCTGCCCCCACACCCCAGCCCCTTCCCCGAGCCTTGCTTTTTAGGTCCCCAGTGGCCAAGGGCAGGAGGCTCAGGAAGTTCTGCCCCGGCCCTCAGCGGGGCCTCCTTGGTTGGGGCGCTGCGGGTCCCACGTGCCTGGAACCCCTGAGTCTCAGGAAGTCCCACAGGCCTCCCCAGGTGGGAGGGAAGACAGCACAGACTGACAGGACTCCTCGGAACCCAGAGGAGGGAGCCGTGTCTGGGGTGGGCCAAGGAGCCTGAAAGGCTTCCAAGAGGGAGCGAGGGCTGAAGTCAAGTCGAGGGGAGACCGTAGAGTGGGGACCAGACTCTGGGCCAGCACTGACCAGCACCTAACCTGGGCCGGGCCAGCCAGCCTGCAGCCCGTCCTGTGCTGTCCGCCAGCGGCTGAGACTGGGCACGGAGGGCTGAGGGAGGAGAGAGCTCCTGGGGCTTGAACCCAAGGCCCCTCCCTGCCCAGCTCCTGTCTGGGAGGAACTGGGCCCCCTAAGCGGCCCTTCACTGCCCAGCCTCTCGGGTTCGAGTCGGGCTGACTGGTGCTCTCCCCTCCAGGGGCCATCGCGGGCGACGACTGTGAGCTGTGTGTGAACGTGGCCTGCACTGGCTGTCGCTGACATGGCGGAGCCCAGCCCGGACACCTGGCCCCCCAGCCCGCCAGCCCGGACACCTGGCCCCCCAGCCCGCTGCCTTCGTAGTCCCCGACCCCGTCCTTGCTCAGGCAGGGGGCCTGGCCACCACTGCCGCCCCTACCCGCCCAGGGCCCAGGCCCAAGCAGCCGAATCTGCTGCGAAGCAGTTGGACATAGGGGCCTGAGGCAGCCCCGCTCCTAATAAAGAGCTGTGCCCAGACAGCCAAGGTGTCCTGTGTCTGTCCCAGGGGCCCCGGGACTTCTTGGGAAGCTGGGTGGGTTGAGGGTAAAGGTTGGGAAAAGATAACCAGGCAGGAATCTCCCTGAAGTTTCCAGGGTCTGAGCAGCTGATTGGTTAAACCTCATTTCCTGCATGAGGAAGTCAGAAACCAGGGCTCAGGAAGGAGTCTCCCCAGATCGCAGAGCTGGCCACACCTTTCTAACCCTAAGCTGGGCTCCAGGGCTGCCCCAGCTTCAGGGCAAGAGCTTCTGTGCTCCTGCTGGGGAGGGGCTGGGCGGGGCTGGAGGTGTGGGCAGAGGGAGAGTCCTGTGGCTCCTCCCTGGCCTATGGGCCCCTTGGCCTGCCGGAGAGGATGAGCCCAGCTTCATCCTCATTTCCCCGGCCCCCTAACTCTTCTCCTGGGGGGCCCCTGGATCCCACCCGGCCAGCTCCGATGGGACGCTCCCCATCCTGGTGGCCCTGAAGAATATCAGTAATAATGAAGTGTTTGTTGAGTGTCTGCTGCCCCCTCTGCTCCGCTCGAAACACTTGGCACATCTGTGTTCCCTGAGCCCTGGCAACGGGCTGGCACAGCAGTTCCTGCCATCACCGCTGTCTCCACTGACAGCCAAGAAGAGTCAGGGCAGAGGGGAGTGACTAGCCCCAGGTCACATGCAACGTGGAGAAGCAAGGCTCCTTCCCAGAGGATCAGGGCCAGAGTTCGTGCTCTGACCAGCATGTTACTGGCCCCTTCTCTGTCACCAGGCCATAGCCGACGGTGTCTACCGGAAGGCCAGTGGGGCCACTGTGACCTCCGACAGCCTACAGCACCTTAATTCAGGCTGGGAGCCACGCTGGGGGTACCAGGGAGCAGGCCCTGCACACAGTGGACTCCTCCCCACTTCCTGGGTATAGGAAGGAGGAGACCCAGGTGCACAGGGTCTCCTCAAGGTCACGTGACTCCTGGAGACCCCTGCCTCTCTGGACCGCCCACTTCTACCCAGGAAGCCCACGGCCTCCCAGAGCACCAGCTCCTTCCTCTCCCTCACCCCCAGGCAAGGCCGGCCTTGCAACACCTCCTGCAGTCTCTGGTCCTGCTTCTCACTCCTTAGCGTCACTCCCTGGGGCACTCCGGCCAGGCCAGAGATTCCTTCCTGGCCCTGTGTCCCGCAGGCTCTCCAGGACCACCTACCAAAGTAGCACCACAGTACAACTCTGCCTTGCCTCTAATCCTTCTGTGGCTCCCCAGTGCCACCACTCAAGTCTAACTGGAGTCTATTGCCCGGACTCAGTGTCCTCCCTCCGGCAGCTCTGCTGGGCCCCACCTGCCTGGTGCGGACAGGGAAGAGGTCGGCCGCGACTGAGCACCTCCAGTGTGCCTGGCACGAGGCGGTGCTGCAGCACCAAAGAGCTCCCTGGGAGCCTAGGGGAGCTTCACCTTTTCTCGTTTCCCTTTGTTTTTATCATCTCCTCCCTCCTCCCCTCCCATCGGCCCCTTATAACCATCGGTTCCACTCTGAGGTTTTGCTTGTTTGTTTCGGATTTCACGTGTAAGTGAGAGCACACGGTCTGGCTTTCTGTACCTGGCTTATTTCACTAAATAGGTTCAGCCATGCTGTCTCAAATGGCAATTATTTTATTTTATTTGTCTACATTTCTTTCTTTCTTTCTTTCTTTCTTCCATGAGAGTGAGAAAATGAAGCAAAGAGACAAACACTCCCAACAGGGTCCTAGCTGGCCCAGAACATGGGCGTGTACTATTGCACCCAGCGTGCTGAGGGAGGTCCCGGGATGTGAACCCAGGACCTCATTATGTGGGTTCAGTTACATTACTTCTGCACCCCCACCTGGCCCCTGGATTTCTCTTGTTTTTCAAGGTTGAATAGTATTTTGCTGTGCATAGAGAGCAGATTTTCTTTGCCCATGTATCTGTTGATTATTGGTTGACCTGTACCTTGGCTATCGCGAATCAGCTATAATGATCATGCAGGTCGATATCCCTTCAGTGGACTGGCTTCATTTCCTTCGGGTTTATCTCAGAAGTGGAATCCCTACATCATTTGGTAGTTCTATTTTTAATTTGGGAGGTCCCCACACACACTGGTTTCTATAATGACCAACAGTGCAGGGCTCCCTTCTCTCCACATCCTCACCAACATTGGATGTCTTGTTGTTTTTTTTCTTTAACAAAACCCATTCTTTTTTTTAGTTAGTTGTTATTTAGTTTTGTTTATTTGGTTTTTTTGTTTGCTTTGCCATAGGGTACATGGGCTCACTGGAGAGACAGAGACAGACAGTGAGAGGGAAAATGAGAAACTACCCCCCGGGAGGATGGCCATGCTGTAATCCCTCCTTCATCCTCCTCCTGGGGTTTTGGGCGCACACGCACACACACCTGGTGTGATTTCCAAGCCTCCAGGTCTGACCTTGGATTACAGTGGGCCAAGTAGGAGCCCAGCTCCTTAACTACCACCCTACCTGCTGGCCCTGATAAAAACCACCCTTAATGGTGTGAGGGGTAGCTCATCCTGGTTGTAATTTGAATTTCCCTGGGGATCAGTGATGTCGAGCGCCTCTTCATATACCTGTCACCCTTTTCTATCTTCTTTTGGGAAATGTCTATTCAGGTCCTTCAGTCAATTTAGGGATTATTTGTTGTCTTGCTCTTGAGTTATTTGAGTTCCTTATTCTGAATAGTAACTCCTTTTCAAATGTATGGTTTACAAATACTTCCTCACATTATTTGGGTTGCACCTTCTCTCCGTAGAGAGTTTCCTAGCTGTGCACAGCTTTTTAGTTTGATGTGATCCCGTTTGTTCATTTCCACTTTCTGTCACCTGTGCTTTGGATGTCACTTACAAAATAATCATTGCCCGGCGTCATGGAGCTTTTCTGTCCCATGGTTTTTTTTTTTAGTAACCTTACAATTTGAGGATCTTGTGTTTAAGTCTTCTCTCCATTTTGAGTTGACTGTTCTTATGGGGTGAGATAAGGATCGAATTTCATATTTCTGTATATGGAAGTCCAATTTTTCCAGCATCACTTATTGAAGAGATTTTTCTCTCCCCATTGTGTATTCTTGGCAACTCCACTGAAAATCAGATGACCATAAAGGTGTGCATTTATTTCTGGGCTCTCCAACCTGCTCCATTGGTCTCTATGTCTATTTTCATGCAGCTGCCATGCCACTTTGATTACTGGAGCTTTGTAGTACATTCTAAAGTCAGATAATGTGATGTATCCAGCTCCGGTTTTTGTTACTGTTGTTGTTTTGGTTTGTCTTTTGTTGTGGTTTTTACAGTATTACCTCATATAGTCTTCACTCAACCCTATGAAGTAGGGAATCTAGTCATCCCTAGTTTTAAAATTTTGCTATAAGGTGCATGTGTTCACTGGGGAGAGCCAGAAAAAGAAAGAAAGAAAAAGTAAAAAAGAAGAAAGAAAGAAAGAAAGAAAGAAAGAAAGAAAGAAAGAAAGAAAGAAAGAAAGAAAGAAAGAAAAAAAGAGAAAAAGAAAAAGAAAGAAGAAAGAAAGGAAGAAAGAAAGAAAAAGAAAAAGAAAGAAAAGAGAGAGAAAGAAAGAAAGAAGAAAGAAAAAAGAGAAAGAAAGAAAGAGAAAGAAAGAAGAAAGAGAAAGAAAGAAAGAAAGAAAGAAAGAAAGAAAGAAAGAAAGAAAGAAAGAAAGAAAGAAAGAAAGAAAGAAAGAAAGAAAGAGAAAGAAAGAGAAAGTGAAAAATCTCTGCAGGGGGGATGGCCATGCTATAATCCCTTCTCCTCCATTCTCCTCTCAGGATTTGGGGCACACACGCCCACGCACCTGGCATCTTTCTCAAGCTGGAAAGTCCAGAACTCAAAGCACACAGTGGGATCCAGCTGCCCTCACCACCACACCACGGGCTAGTCCAGTTACCCCACTTTATAGATGAAGAAACTGAGGCGAGAATGGGCAAAGTAATCTGCCCACAGTCATAGCATTAGTTGTGGGAGAGAGTCAGGGCTCATACAGAATCTGGCTGTAGAGTTTGAGCATCAAATGAATCTACTCCTCGTCTCATTAAACTCCCCTGTCTATCCCACGCCCTGAAAGGACCCCAGCTGCCTGCTCTTCCTTCATTACCTCTTCCCTTGCTCACTGGCCTCAATTCCATGCCTGCCTCCTCACCTCTGTCTGACCCATCCTCAGCCTGGCCCTGGTCCCCCTTTCCCTGGTTTGGTTTGACTCTTGCACTCCTCTTAGGTTTCGTCAGGTCTGAACTGAGGACTTCGCGTGCATAGTTTCATCCCGACTGGGAGACAGGTACTCCTGGTGTCCCCGTTGTACGGAGGGGAGCCCAAGCATAGAGCGGGAAAGCGTTTTCCTGACCTCATGCAGTACCTGGCAGACCTGGGCTGGGACTGCACCCCTTGCACCCCTCCTGCCCTGTGTTACGTCCTCGGACAATCCTGCGTGTGGGTGGACCTCACTGGATCTGGCGGTCAGAGCGATCTCCCTGGGCACAGAAGCCATTGCACAGCAGGGTGCCCGGAGCTGCGGAAGGGTGTGAGTGATCAGGTGTCCGGGGAGTGCCAAGAACAGAACGGAAGCACTAGCACTCTTCCCTGGGGATCAGAAGAGGTATCTTGAGGCGAGGCCATGGAGGAAAGTCCTGAAGCCTGAGTAGGAGATGACCCACTTGGAGTGTAGGAGGAGGGCAGTGCAGAAGAGGAGCCGAGGGCATGGTGGGAGGTGCACCATGGGTGAGGACATGGAGCACAGCCGGCATGGCCAGGGGGACCCACATCCTGAGGCACTGAATACCCAAGTCAGGGGGCCGATTTCACACTGAGGGGCTGTACTGGGCGTCCACACCAGCTCAGCCAGTGCCCGTGCTCACATGCGGCTTAGGGACTTCGGTGGCCCCAGGGGTGAAAGGAAAGCAGAGGTTCGCTATCTAACAGTGGTAGGAGGTTCAGGACCCCTGGGTGCCTGTGTGTGGTGCAGGCCCAGGGCTGGGTAGCTCTGCAGGGAGGGTGTGGATGGCGAGCACTGAGGGCGGAGAATGAAGGCAACACCAGAGGCACGCTGGAATCTGGTTTATTAGCTGGGCGTTGGAGGGGTCCTGGGAAGCACTGGGTCTCCGGGCACCCATCCCCTCGGCAGGCCCCCTTCTCTGCCCTCCGCCTGTGTCTGTGGCAGGGAAGGGTGGCACTACCGGCAGGGGAAGGGGCTTCCCGCGGGGAGGGGAAGAGGCCGGGCGAGGAGTCCTAGCACCCCGCACAGGCCGCATAGGCACAGATCTCGCACGTGCTCGGGTCCTCCGCGATGGCCTCTGGACAAGAGAGATGGGTCCTCATGACGCCCGCGTCCCTTCCCCCAAGCCACCTGCCTCCCTTGAGCCAGAGCCTGAACACCCACCACCCAGCCCCCAGGAGACTCCGGCAGCACCCCACGCCAGGGCGCCTGGACCACGCGAGCCAATCCGAGTGGAGATTCTACCCAGAGAGGAGGGATCGGCAAGGCCAGGTGCTGGCGGACTGCTGGCAGCCCAGCCCGCAGAGAGAAGGCATTCCAGTCACGACTTAGCGTTCCTGGGAGCAGACAGGTGCCACAACTGGGGGCTTCCCGGACTCCCACCCTCGGTCAGAAAGGAGGCTGCTTACCCAGCCTCTGAAGGATCTCCTGGGCGTTGGACTCCTTGCAGAGAGGCTTGAGTTCTTCGGGAAAATCGGGGTGACTGCAGAGGGCGGGAACCTCAGATTCACCAGGGGTAGGTGCAAGCTTCTTGTAGTTCCAAATCCTGGGCTCCTGGATCTCCCAGAGGTCTTTGAGCTTCTTCACGGACTCCAGAGGAAAGGAGAAATCTCCATCCTGGAAGAGAGACGCCCAGTGTGGGAGGCCCGGCTGTGCCCCCTCGGCACCCTGCCCCTGCCCCAGGCCAGCAGTGTGCACTCAGAGCTCATGGCTCATGGCAATGGGAAGCAGCCGCTCCACCGCAGGGCCAGGTCGGGCTCAGTACAGGGCTCAGTGCTCAGACCTTACAGCAGCTCTGCTCTGTGACCAGGGCCACTCCAGAAGCCTTAGGTCCGGCATGTTCCATAGAAACAGAGAAGCGCTGGGGATGACAGGTGCCTGCTGGACAGGGCCTGGTGTGCTACTCTTAGGCAGAGGCTCAGTGACCAGGACCCAGGCATCCTGGCTCCCCGCCACACCTGGATGTCCTTCCCCTGCCTGAGAGCAGTGCCACATTTGTCTGAGAAGCCATAGAAGATGCTGATGAAGAGCTGGGCCCCTGGGCCAGCCTGCCCTGTCACCAGCACAGGCATGGGGCGGGAGGGAGGTGGGCAGACCCATCCTCAGGACCTGTGTGTTATCCCTGCAATTCCTGGGGCCCAGGTGGATTCTCTGGCAGAGCACAGAACTCAGGGGGACAGTCTGGGTTTGAATCTGGCTCCTTCACTTCCCAGTCGTGAGCCTGTGGCTTGTTAGCAAACCCTCTGAAGCTGTCCCCTCCTCTGTAAAATGGGATGAATTAGTCCCTTTCCCCCAGGGTGATGGGTGATGGGTGATGGTGAGGCCATGGCGAAGTCCTGGGGGAGGAGCCCACACATAGCGGGTGCTCAGCGAATCAGCCAATCACTGTCTCTCCAAGCACTTCTTTCTCTGGACTTGGGATGCTTTTACATGGAGTTTGAGGGGTAAGGTGTTTGGGACGGGACTGAGACAGAGTTTGCCAGCATCCTAGTCCCCAAAACAGGATGTTCTCTTAGGGCAGGCCCTGAGCACTGCAGGCCGAGCGCTGGCTGGCCACGGTGGGCACAAGAACTTACCTGTACGGTGACCGCCCCTGCCAGGGCAGCCCAGGCACCGAGGAGGCACAGTGCCGAGAGCAGGAAGGTGTTCATGGCGGCGGTGCCGGGAGGGAGCAGGGCTGGTTCTGGGTGCCGGAGGAAGCAGCAGGGTTTTTAAAGAAGGCAGGTTACTGAGTAACCCGGGAGCCTTTGTCAGAGTTTGATCTGTTCACCTGTCAGGCCTCATCAGATAAGGCTCCAGACAGCTCTGGGAGATAAGAGCCCAACCCCTCCCAGGGCACCCACCTTGACCCAAACCGGGCTGTGGCCTGCATTCACTCATTAGTCACACGCCAGCAACTGCTCTGGGCCCAGCTCTGTGCTGGGTTGAGGCCTGCAGGCCAGTCCTGCCCTAGCAGCCTGAGGTCCAGACCCCAACCATGGCCAGGCAGCAATGGCAGGGGACAAGGCTGCCTGGAGGTGGAGGGGTCACAGTGGTGCCGTGCAGGGCCATCTCCCCAGCCCGAGTTCTGGAAAGTGGCTGGACACAGTCCTGAGAAGGGACTTGTAATGGGAAGGGGATGGTAAAGGACATTTCATGCAGGGGTGTTACCTCCCCACAGCCAGGAGGTGAGGCAGGCCTAGAATAGCCAGGGAAATGTGGCCAATTTCAGCCTGAAGAGGGGAGCTTGGGAGGCGACCTCGGATGAGAGTGGAGGCCGCAGACCCAGGCCAATGCAAGATCCAGCTCTGTAGGGAAGGCCTGGACTCTGCCGTCCCCAGGCTGCTGCGGCCCCACCCACTGCCCCGTGTGGATGTGCTTGAACTTGGGCGAGTGCTTTCCTGTCACCAGGTCTCATCGTCCCTCTGTCCTCCGTGGGGACACGAGGCTCCCTGTGAAGCAGACATCACTCTGTTGAGGAAGGAGGGAGGCCGAGCAGTGCTGGGCTCAGAACCTGTGCACACGGCCCTCGGCAAAGGCGCCACAGTCACTCTGAGCAGCAGCCGCTGCAGCTCTGGCCACCACCTTCTGGCGACCCCCCACCGGCATAGCCACCTGGGCTGGCCCCCTGTCCTGCCTGTGCCGTGGCCTCAGAGTGCTCTCGCCCAGGCCTCTCAACCCCCTTGCCCTGCAGGTACCTTCCCTTCCGTGGACGCGGTGGGGTGGCACAGTGTGCTCTGTGCGGCCGTCCACGGGAACCTAGCACACAGGAGCAAGGGTGGCCCTGGTGTCTCATCTTCCTGCTCTGCACAGCTGGCCAGATGCCAGGGCGCTCCTCTCAGGGACAGGTGGGGCGGGAATCCCCAGTGGGGAGTCCACCCTGAGGAGCAGAGTCAATGGGGGAACTGACCACAAAGGGCTCGGCCTGGGAACGCAGTGGCCACCTGGCCCACTCCCAGCCAGCCCTCGAGGCTACGCCGGGCTTCCCTCCCCTGGGCAGGGGGAACTGACCACAAAGGGCTCGGCCTGGGAGCGCAGTGGCCACCTGGCTCACTCCCAGCCAGCCCTCGAGGCTACGCCGGGCTTCCCTCCCCTGGGCAGGGCACATGGGTGGGACGTGCTGAGGGCAGTGTGCACATGAGTGTGTAGGTTGAGGCATGCATGTCTGTGTATGTTAAGGTAGATGTGCATGGGTGTACGCTAAAGTGTGTGTGTGCACTGAGGTGTGTGTATGCACTGAGGTGTGTGTATGTGTACACTGAAGTGTATGCACATGTGTGTGTGCACTGAGGTGTGCATGTGTGTATACTGAAGTGTGTGTGTGCACTGAGGTGTGTGTATGTGTACACTGAAGTGTATGCACAAGTGTGTGTGCATTGAGGTGTGCATATGTGTGTGCACTGAGGTGTGTGTATGTGTGCACTGAGGTTGTGTGTGTGTGCTGAGGTGTGTGTATGTGTACACTGAAGTGTATGCACATGTGTGTGTGCACTGAGGTGTGCATGTGTGTGTGCACTGAGGTGTGTGTATGTGTGCACTGAGGTTGTGTGTGTGCGCTGAGGTGTGTGTGTATATACGCCAAAGGGTGTATCTGTACACATGCCAACTTGTATAGTATGCTGCGTACCCCAAGATGTGTGTGTGCATGTGCACACACTGAGGGGTGTGTGTATACTATGACGTGTGTGTAACCACATGCTGAAGTATGTGTAGACACACTGAGGTAAGCATCTGCGTACACCAAGGTGTATGTACACCGAGGCATGCCCATGTGCCTGTGTGGTGCGTGTGTGTCTGTGCATGCCACTGAGGTCTCCATGTCCAGTCCACCCAGTTGCCTGCTGCCTCTGTAAACCGAGTGCAGGGCGAAAGGACGCACAGGAATGGGCCGGAAGGGTTGGGGCAGGCTGGGTGCTCAGGACGGGAGCAGGAGTGACTGGGTTTGGTGGGGGTGAGGTGGGGATGCGGCTGGGTGGACTGGCTCAGCTGGGATGGAAGCGCGCATCAGGAAGGCTGAGGGTGGCGCTGGGCCTGGAAGTCCGGCTTCGGGCAACTTGCGCTGAGACTGATGTGGAAGTTGGGTTATGGGCTGGGGTTCGGGGTAAAGTTAGGGAGAGACTGAAGTCGCAGTTAGGGACAGGAGTTCAAGACTCAGAGTGGGTTAGAATGAAGTCAAGGATGGGGATGGGGAAGCGTGAGAGTTAGGATCAGATTGGGGTACAGTTACGGTGGGGTCGATGTGGAGACTGACTGCCGTGGAGCTGGTCGGGGAGGTCAGGGCTCCTGGGCGGGGCTAGGCCTGCAGTGGCGCCCATGGTGAAAGATGGCCGTGTGGTCGGGTTGGCTGGGTCTACTGTCGGGGCTGGGGCTGGGATTAAGTGCAGGGCTGACACTGAGCTGGGCTGACGCTGTGTAGACGTGGGCTTGCATGGGGCTGCTGTGGGTTGAAGGAACCCTTTTCTGGCTCACTTGGGTTTCTCAATCTTTCCCCTCCTAAGTGTGGCAGGTAAAGGGAGGAGTTTTGGTTCCTGAAGCCTCTCTCTCCTGTAAAGTCTGGCCGGGGCTTGCCTGGCAAAAGACAGAAATGGGGTTGGGGAGTAAGTGTCAGAGTGACCTCACGCCACACTGTGGGAAAGAGGAAGTGGCCCTTTGGGTCCTGCCCTTCCCAGCTCCACCTCGGACAGCTACCTTGGGAAATGGGAACCAGCTCCCCTTCCCTTGCCCCCCTCCCCAACCCCCTTTTCAGCCTGGGCCCAGCTGGGAATTCATCCCCGCCCCATTCCTACCCCCCCCCCACTTACCCAGGGCTCAGGGACATCAGCAGCGGGACC